TAAAATCCGTCACCCTCTCTCCCATGCTCTCTCTTCCCAAAAACTTCAATCATTAAACTCATTCTTACACTTCAACTTCCCTCTTCATTCTCTCTCTCACACACTCCACCCTTTCAACTCTCAAACTCTCTTCCTCTCTCTCTAAACTCACGAAAATATTCAGTCAAGAACACCTCTCCACACTCAAATCTTCATCTTCTAAGGCTATTCTTCAAGGTATTCACGAAAATCTTTCACCCTCCCTTACTTTTCCTTCTTGTTTTAAAAGGTTTTCTTGTACTTCTCTTCCTTCTACACCATTCTTTATGAACATTCATGAACATGTTCATGAATGTCGAGTTTGATGATGATGGTGGTAGGGTTTCACCCAAGAACAACATGCATGTTGTTTAATGGTGAAATCCAAGGACCAAAACCTATGTCAAACACTAAAGTTCGGATTTTTACAAGTTTTAAAGGCTCATACACCTTATGCATTCAAGTATTTCCTTTAAAAACATCACTATGACAAACATAGAAAGATCAACTTATACACCTTATGTTACAAAAAGTTTTGGTAATTTACTTTAACTGTTTATTATTTATTCTCGAATTAATGATTATTTAAGAGGATAAAACAAAGAAAAATAGAAAGACCAACTGAAAAATATATTTTATATTTTTCACAGTTTCTATATGTATAATAACAGTGTTACAAAAATTTTGGATAATTTTGGAAACTGTTTTCTATTTATTTCAATTTTTATTAGAATAAATGCACAAAAATCATAAAAATGGGTTAAACAGTTTAGAAATCCATTTTTATATTTTTCCCAGCTCAAGTATGTCTAATGGCAGTATTATAAAAAGTTTGGGAATTTTTATGCTTTTAATACTATTTTTCATGAATTTATGTTGTTATGAAGGCTTAAAAATTTAGAAAAATAGTTAATCATATCAAAAATTCAAAGGAAATTTTTTGGAAGACCTCTACTGTATTTAGAATGAAAATACAAGGTTTGACAATTTTTGGAAACTGTTTGATAATATTTTACATTTTTAGGAATTTAAAACACCTTTAAATGTGTTGAATACCCTAAATTAATATTACTAAATCTGGAAAATTAATATCCAAAATGTCTTAATCACATGAGTTATAGAATTTCACCATTTCAGAAAAATTGTAACCAATTAATATAAAACCAATATTAGAACATAATTTGGCATTTCTCTATATGTAGAGTTTAGTATATTAGCATTAGATTTCGACATGGAAACTCACTAGTGTGTGTTTGATGTCGTAGGATCCCGGTAGTAAGACGTTGGTGTATTCCGAGGCACCACTTGTACCTACTCGAAACATTGTGAGTATTCACGCACTCCCCTATTTTCAGTTTTTTTTATGTTTTGGGGTGGAAAAGCATGTCCCGAAAAACTATTATTTGAATGTTGTATTTAAATTGATTTGTATCAAACATGATTGCTATTTTATTGCTATGTCTCTCTATGTATGTCTATGCAACACGGAACATGAGAACTTATCGTACTAAGGCCCTTCCCTTATCTCTAACCATTAACTCTTTGAGCCAATGGTCATTATGGATAGCGCTATTAGGAATTGACAACTCCTCACTCGCCCTATTGCTGGAGTGCATGATACCATATTCATCTATGGAACGATAAGCATAGATCTTGATAGGGCTTCAGTCATAGGTTTGGTTGAGACTCATTGTTTGCTCCTACACATACAAACTCGTTTCTCGTTATAGCAATAAACTTGTTATCAATCATAGCAATCAACTTTGTTTCTCATTAAAGCAATGTACTTGTATTTATGAAAAGCCTTATTCCAAATCTTGATTTTATAAACTTGTGAACTCACCAACTATTTTCATAGTTGACGCTCGTTTTACATGCTTTTTCAGGAAATAATTAGTAAGTGGATATAAAGATTCATCATCATAGAGCATGCTGCATCGTGTTGAAGTTATTTATGAAGTTATATTTTGAACTTTTTCTATTAAGCTTGGGTTGCTAAAACTTTGAATATTGCTCTGGTGATGTATCTTTATCTTTTGCAATGAAACCGTAATCGCTGTCATATCTTGCGTTTCCGCTTTAGCGGGGTGTGACAATGTACGCTCTGATATGTACTCGCCCTGATGTGTCTTTTGCCTTGAGCATGGTCAGTGGCTATCAGGGAAATCCTGGTAAAGCTCATTGGATAGCGGTTAAGAACATTATCACGTATTTGTGGAGGACGAAGGACATGCTTCTAGTCCTTGGTGGCAGTGATACGTTGAGAGTGAGTGGGTACAGTGATGCCAGCTTTCAGACAGACAAAGACAACTTTCATTCTCAGTTAGGATGGGTGTTCACTCTAAATGGTGGAGTAGTAACTTGGAAGAGTTCCAAACATGATACAGTGGCTGATTCAACCTGCGGATCAGAGTGCATAGCTGCAAGTGAAGCATTTAAGGAAGCAGCTTGGTTGAAGAACTTTATCGGAGATCTTGGGAGTTGTCCCAACCATTCAGGAGCCAACGGAACTTTTCTACGATAATGAAGGAGCGGTTGCCTTGACTAAGGAACCAAGAGATCATGGAAAGTCTAGACATATCGACAGAATGTACCATTACATCAGACATAAGGTAGAAGAAGGTCACCTCATCGTGAAGAGGGTATCATCAGAAGAGAATCCTATAGATCCTTTGACGAAGGCTCATGCTTTTGGAAGTAAGTAGTGAATTAAGACTGTCATGAATTGAACTGTAAATTATCTAAGGGAGTTAGACATAGCAATAATATTACCGCAATGTTCGTGAGTACTTAGATAAAACCACGCTCAAAGAATTACTTCATGGATTGTATCACGAGTAATTCTGAGACGATAATATCTTATGATCTTAAAACAGAGATATATGAGTTGTAATTTACAAGTTGGTTGTACATTGGTAATGTGTAAACGCATTAGTAACTTGATGTTGTAAAACGTATTGTCATACATGATTTGATGAGTAAAAGATGCAAGCATATGAGTCAAAGTTTATTCGTTCCTTTTGCCCTAATGGGAAAAGCGATACTTTGGGCCCCTCTGTGATTTAGTGTTGACTAATAGTGTTGGGCCCGACCAAGACTAAATTGATGTGTTCAATTAGAAGTTCCATGTCATCACAAATCAAAAATCGGGAAATAAAGTCTTGAAATATAAGATTGATTATATTCCATGTCTCGTGTTCGAATGATATCTAGCAGAACGGAGGATTATATGATTACTTATCTTAGGACGGGTAACTGACTGGGTCAGAGTTCGACAATGGCTTTTGGAAGCTACAATTTGCTGATCGATTCAGAAGTTATACTGACAATTATAGTTATAAAATTATCCAAGTAGGAGACTGTTGGATTAGGTGTCTAAGCCCATAACTAAAATTGGTATACACTTGAATTAATAATAGAACAACCCTTTTGGGTTGCCCTCAAACCTAGCAATTGGACAAGATGAATTTTAGAGAGAGAGATTAATTTATTATGTGATTAATAAAATTGAAATAAATAGGTTATTAATGTATTATGGAAATAATATATTAATTAGAAAATGTATTATTTAATTAATAAATAATCAGAAACTAATTGGAATTAATTTTAAGATTAATTGGATTAATTAAAAGTACAGAGACTATTTGGTTATTTATTGAAAGTTGAAGAAGGAATGCTCTAGAATCTCATGGGATGAGGTGAACGAAATTCCTCTAGGGCAAGCCTAGAGGATTTCGTCCAAGGCTCCTTGGATAAGGAGATTGGGTTGCTTGGTCAACAAGTAAATCAATATAAGGCTTTGGCCCAAAGATTCCTCAACTATATAAGGCCATCCCTAGCCCCATATTTCGTCCACTCCTCTCTTCCCTAAGGCTTGGACGAAAATTGTTACTCTCTCATCTCCTCTCTATTAAGTCATCATTTTGCTAGCTTGGGTGTGAACCATTAGAGGCACGACACTTGTGGTGCTTGCTTCCAAAGAGATCTACAAGAATGAATCATTGTTATTTACTACAATAACAATTAATGTATGTAATCCTAAACCCTAATGTGTGTTTTTCGAAAATTACCTAGGGTTCTTAGAGTTTCTTATTTGATTTTCTTAGTTATAGGTTCAATAGAGAAAACATAGATCCTATTTAGGTTGCATGCAAACTTAAGGGTTTTAAGTTTATTTGTTTTACATAAATCCTGTCAGTGGTATCAGAGCGTTTGATTTGTTTTCAATTGAATAACTATAATTATTGAATTAGATCAATTAGGGTTTTCAAAAACAAGCTTAAAAACAAATCTATTAATGGTGTGTTCTGCATGAAGCGTTTTGGAGTGTTTGAGAGCTTCTAGCTTCTAGCATTTTACAAAACGTTTCGTTTCGAACAGAAGACCTTGTTTGACACTACAAGCTTCTAGCGTTTAGTTTGAACAAAACACTCTAAATCTCAATGTTATTTCACGTAGTGTTTAACAAAACGCTACCACCTACAAGCTACAAGCTACCCACTACCAGTTAGTTTTGCCGAACACGCCCTAAGTGTTTATGCCATTATAGAATTGAAGACTTGTAAAAATACAAAAAATACAAATATAAATATATATGTTAATTAGCATATTAGAATTTCCAGATTGATATTATGTTTTATAAACAACATTGTGTTTTCTTCTTTCCTATCCTACAAAAATAGTTTCTTGTGGTTTTATAAATTATAATAATGCGTAATGAGCTCTTATTGATTAATACTTGTTAATTCAGGTTTTAGTTTTTTAATCTCAAAGTCGTCACAGCCTCACAGGAAACCAAACAAGATCCAAAAAATTTGGGCCCTATTCCATTGACTGAACATGCTCACTGATGGGCGAAGGCTACCAACCATGATTTTGGGTCATATGTTTGCAGTGGTTAGTCAACCACCGTAATCGAATTCCCACCAAACATTTCTCGTGAAGAACACTTCATTTTTACAACACCGTGCATAAACAGCTTTTCATAACTGTATTAACAATTTTAAATCTTCAAGTTCTTGCCATGGCCAAAGTAGAAGAAAAGAAAGAAACCATCACCATTGCAGTTTATAAAGCTAATCTGCATTGCCCAAAATGTGCTCATGATATTAAGAGGCCTCTCTTGAGAACCCCAGGTACCCACCTTTCTTTAAAAATTGCAACATTTTTAATTATATTACGTTTGGTTTCTATTTCAATATAATTAAATAAAGACGCATTCATGCAAGTCGTTAATTAGTATCTCAAACTCTATTTTTGCCATTATGATTAACTAACAATCAAATAATTTCATTAACCTAGGCCTCATGGAAGTATCTTACCATGTCTTCCGTTAATTGACAAAAATGTTTTTGTCTCGTATTTTTGTCACTATATTCGGGTCTATAAGGGTTGTTTCTGCTTTTTCGTCAATTCTTATTGTGCAAACCTTATGACCCTCTGTTTGGTCAAGAAGACCCGAGAAAGTAACCACTAGGAGCGGACCAAAGAAAAATATAAGGGGAAACTCAAAACTTAAAACATATCTTATATATATTATCAATATGTTTTTTTTTTTTTTTTTTTTTTGTGGCAGGTTAGTATATGACTGAGATAACCTTACGATCTTCTTGTTAAACACATTGTTAGCCAAATGAGTTAGCTCAACTTGTTATTATCAATATGTAAATGAGAAATCAAATATCCTACTATTTTTTTTCTTCTATCATCTTCATATACATTTTAAATTATAACACTTGTTATATTTAATAAAATTAATAAATTTAATAAATTTAATAAATTTTTATTACATTTGTCACTGAAAAAATAGATAAAAAAATAAGCTGGAGGATATTTAATTTCTCTATGTAAATTGATTAATAAGTGCAACAAATAGTTATCTATTAATTTTTTTTCTAACTTTTATGGTGCACTTTAAACGTCTAAAAGGTTCTTGTGTTTTATACAAATTTACAATATTAACATTAAGTGCAAAGTTTCCAAGGGATCAAGTGATCAACTATGCCCACCCTACCCCACTCTTACGGCCCCTTAAAACCAAATTTTGTAAAGATAACTTTTTGTTGTTGGTTGTGTTAAAACAGGAGTCCATAAAGTGGATGCTAAGCATGAGAAAGGTCAAATTACAGTGGAGGGCACCTTTGAAGTGAAGAAGATTCATGAAAGATTAGAGAAATGGAGTAGGAAAAAGGTTGAAATTTTATCCCAAGATAAGAAAATACTGGAGAAGAAGGATGCAAAGAAAGTAAGAGTTACTTCAACTTAATTTTTATTTAATTTTAAGAGAAATCTTGTGTGAAGTCTCAATATTTTAATTCAGTTTATGAAAAAGAAAGGTTCTAAAAAGCTCGCCATGGCTCCAAGGCTTGTGTCTGCCGTCAAACTTTACCAAAACGCCGCCTTAACTCATATATGTGTATAAAATAAAATAATAGTTGAAAATACATATAAAAATATTAATTATATACAAAATTGTCGCCTTTAGTCACGCCTTACAAACGACGTGGTTCGCCAAGGCTCGGAAAAGCTTGAGGCTTGACATTGCCGTCAAGTCACGTCTTACGTTATTTAGAACCTTGTGAAAAAGTGATAAACTAAGTTTAATATTCAGAAAAACACAGAATACCGATTAAAACTTCGGAAAAACCATATTTTTGCTGGTTTTGCAACTTTAGTCGGTATCCCATATTTTTCTAGTAATTTAGATAAAATATTTAGATTTTTCCAAAAATTATCCATTTTTAACCAATAACCAAAATATTAAGGTTTTTCTGAATATTACCTTTGAATTAACGTATATTATTATTAATAGAATATTTATAAACATAACATTTTTATTTATTATAAGCAAAAGAAATATAGTTGTTGAACATTTCTAGGAATGAAAATGTAGACTCTGTATGTTCATCTAATTATGCATCGTTGTGATTGTTATGGTGCGATTACATTTTGCTGGTTTTGCCAATTTAGTCGGTATCCCATATTGTTCCAGTAATTTAGATAAAATATTTGGATTTTTCCAAAAATTATCCATTTTTTAACCAATAACCAAAATATTAAGATTTTTCTTAATATTACCTTTGAATTAATGGATATTATTATTAATAGAATATTTATAAACATAACATTTTTTTTTATTATAAACACAAGAAATATAGTTGTTGAACATTTCTAGGAATGAAAATGTAGACTCTATATATGTTCATCTAATTATGCATGGTTGTGATTGTTATGGTGTGATTGCATTTTGTGGGTGTCCATATATTGGTGTCCCTTTTATGTTCTTTAAACCTACATACACCCATCCTCCATATACACTTAATAATAACCATCTAACACACATCCATAGAAAGTAACAAAAGTACAAAGTGAGCTTTGGATAACAGTTTAAATAGATAACCACTTTTCATTCGTTTTCATCACCAAATTAGATAACCACTTTTCATACATTTCCTACACCAAATGGGTGCTACCGTTTCGAAGAGTGAACACATTTGTTATAGATTTTTCTTGTAGTCCCTGTAGTTTTCTTAAATATATAGAAATGATCATTGCATGAGAAAAATTACAGAAATAATCCTTATTTTTTTTTTCAAATTCAGACCCATTGCAGCCTACTTACCTTGTAAAATTTTCATTTATGGTCTTTATTTTATTTTATTTTCCAAATTTTGTCCAAACTTTCTTTGATAAACCATTCAAAAAAAAACTTATACTACCACCGTCGCATATTTATTATCAACTATTGACTTTTGATGTCTTTATTTTTCAATTTTGATTTCAAATATTTTTGTTTTTTATATATTGTTTGATGAAAAATGTATGAATGGATTGTATTTTAAATGTATTTTTTATTGTTATAAGTTTTATTAAGTAATATATAACACAAATAAAAATATTTAAGTTCAAAGTTGAAGAATAAAGACTTTAAAAGTCAAAAATAGACATTAAATATTGGATGAAAGGAGTATATATATATATATATATATATATATATATATATATATATATATATATATATATATATTCTAAACTAAGTTTTTTTTTAAATGGTTTTTTCCTACTTCTTTTACATTTTATAATGTATATTTCCAATTTTTTTAAATTGATTTTTTACAAAATTACTATTTTTACATATTTGATTATATATCTATTCCTATTTTGATTTTTTTTCTTTTTAAAAAGGTTTTGTTTTACATTTGTTTTCTATTTTTAACATATTTGTTTCATGTATGTAGGTTGTACACATAAAAAAATAGTTTCTTTTAAATATTCGTTTTGAGAAAATAATATACATTTTTATTTATATATTTATTGGTAATCCTATTACAAATTATGTATTGGTATAATTAGCATGAGTTTTCAAAGTACAATGATATAAATATGTATGTGTTTATGGTTTAGTGTGTGAATGTGTGCAATTGCATTTCATGTGACTATGTGTGTATGTGTGACTTTGTCGTGTGTATGTGTATGGTATATGTGTGGCAAAAAACAGAAAGTGCATTGCTATTTTTGTCTTTGCCACATCTCTCTCTCTCTCTCTCTCTCTCTCTCTCTCTCTCTCTCCCCAACACAATCAGTTTTCATAAAATTTATTTCTTAAACTCTCTCTTGCCGTAACATGCGAGATTAAAATCGTTGTTAACGCACATTATGCAATACTTATGGCTTAGTGAGCACCAATTTTGTACGAAAGGTCAAGTTGCTCACCTTGACCATGAAAATTTTCACTTATGCATGAAAGTGAGTTTGTTTTTTAGGTTTTGATCTAAAACCGAAGCAAAAAATCATAATTAATCGATTTTTAACCCTAATAAATCATTTGAGTACTCCTGGTTTTTATAGATCTTTTTTCAGTGGGAACTGATCCGTACACAACAAAATTTCTCCATACACAACAATTTGTGCTTTAAAATGTTGTATTGTACAACTCTATTAAGCACAAATTGTTGTGTACGGATAAAAACTGTAGTGTACGAATCACTTCCCTTTTTCATTTAAACGACTGACTTTCGGTAAGTAAATACATCTGTTAAAGTAACTAAAACTCTAATTTACTCTTTCAATATTAAATATCTACTACATATATACAACAAGTACACGTAAACTATGTGGTTTAATAACATAAGTTTTTGTTCATTTTGTTTATTTTTTTACTTAAAACTGAAATTCATGATCTTATAAAAATAAAAAAATCAGACTGTCAACCTATAGAAATATTCCATTTTAAAGGCTTTAATATTTTTGATTTTGGGTGGATATTTCGGTTATCTTTTTCACATGCCTATAATGTATAATACAACCACAAACTAGGAAAGAATGAATGGAAATCAGACTTAGGGCATTCACAATTGATGGATCGAACTCTATAAAATTTAATATTCTCATATTGACATTCTACTTTTCGTACAATTTTATTGGTTAATTCCAACAATATATTGAACTATCAAAAGTTCAATGGAACATATTTTAAACCATAATTGATTAAGTTATGCATTGTGAATGCTCTTAATTGTAATGACTAGGGTATGCGAACTATAGCCAACATGGTTTATGGGTTCTGTTTGATATGGTTCAATCGTAGTTGATACTCCCTACACACGTCTAGTAGCACCCATGAATATACCTCATACCTCCACACCATTACTTTGTTAATTTAATTCAATATTGATCTAATATTTCAATATTGGTATATTAAGACACTATAGATATTTAATCCATTTCATTACTTTGGTACAAACATCTTTCATGGTCCAAAAAAACCATGTTTCCCTTATTTATACGGTTAATTTAGTGCATGTCAAATGTAATTAATATAAAACAATCTTATTATGTAAATGCCCTTTCCTATATGACAAATGTGGCCTATAAGACCATATTCTTTGAACAAATAGTCAAATTCTAACGGTATCTGACATTTGTTTGTGCACGAAGGAAACTATAAGGACGACAAAAATAAAGGCTTACATGCACTGTGAAAAGTGTGAGCACGATTTAAGAGCGAAGCTCCTCAAACACAAAGGTAAAGGCATAATGATATTGTTAAAAGTAATAGGTTTTGCTTCTTTGTAACATAACAGACTTGTGGAGACAATACTTAATCTAGAAAACTATATATGGATGTGTCATTTTGACTTAGCCATTACATGATACAATTTTTTCTTCCCATGTGTGTTGTCATTTTTATCAAAAAATTTCTATACATGGTTAATGTCAACAACACTTTATTCAAATAAAGGAAAAAAAAAGAGTTTTATATGTAAATTGTGATATATATCACAGTTGAACTTAAAACTATGAAAAATGGCAGGTATACACAATGTGAAAACAGACATAAAATCACAAACTGTTGTAATCGAAGGAGTTATCGAAGCTGAAAAGATTGTGACTTATATGCAAAAGAGAGCACGCAAACACGCAGAGATCATACCCATACCCCCTCCAAAAGAGAAGGTGGAAACCAAAGAAAAGGTGATTGTTGATGTTGTATCTACAAAGATTGTGGAATTCCAAGAGAAAAAGAAAGTTGAAGCAAAGACAAAGGATGGTGAGGTCCCGTATTTTGTTCACTATGTGTATGCCCCTCAGATGTTTAGTGATGAAAACCCGAATGCTTGTTTGGTAATGTAGAATAGGGCACCAAAATTAATGTTTTTTTCTTGGCAATATTTCTCATTTGTACTGTAATTAAATAATTGCTAATTTAATTAACATCATTTGTATATCGAACGTATTTAAAATGTCAAAATACTTATATTCTTTTAGTAATAAGTCTAGAACCCTTAGTCGTTGTTTTTTAGAGACTTAATTACTACCAGTTTAATATTGAAATACATAGCAAGAAGACATGCACGTTTCATTAGCTTAGAACACATTTATTTAGGGTTTCTGGTTTTTGCGGCTTTAAGGGAGTTCTATAAACATGAAAAGAACTGCAAGTGAGAAAAGTAAAAGTGTAATAAAAGAATAAACCTCAAACTAAATGCCATGCATATGAAAGGAGCATATATATATATATATATATATATATATATATATATATATATATATATATATATATATATATATATATATATATAAAAGAAGAACACGACAGTCAAAACAGTGTGTGACGGAGAGAGTTTTTCCGTGTAATAGTACGGTAGGTAAGCCAAAAACATAAGATTTACAGCCCAAATACAGTGACCAAGAAGAAAAGAAAATAACAAAATATATATTTTTTTCGTGGTTTTTGACACATTTGCGTAACTAGTTAATTCAGAGGATTTTATGTAAAACGTCCAACCTAATAACTTTTTAACTCCAGTTCTAAGGAGTACGGCATGTTGAAACTCAACAGCACTAATGCACTATTGAGATTTTAAACTGAAAAAAGTTCTCAAGCCGTATCTATCTGCTTAAAATAACAAAATATATCGCTACTGCTTTATGTGAATTAATCATTACAATTGAAGCTGATAATAATTTGAGAGAGGAGAGAGAGGGAGTCCTATACTCATTTAAGTAATCAAAGTGCTCAGGCGATCCTCTAGTGTATAGAAGTAATGATTCTATCATCTATGCCTTTTTTCTTTTTCTTCTTTTTCTTTTTTAATTCAACGTCTTTGATCTTATAGTTGGTAATTCCGAGTTTATCATCATCTCACATTCTGAAAGACTGGTGTGGCCCAACACGATGATGAGGTCAATGAGATTCAAACATGAAATTTCATACGACAATAGTATTTTAAGGATCATACTCTACATGTTAATAATTCTGGTTAATACTATCAAGAACTTTATCAGGCTGATAGAGACTATGCTGTTTGTCCATCCGTGACGAATTTGGTAACCAGAAACACCCAAATTAGAATTTTAATTAATACACACAGCTAATACTCATCAAGATTTTCAATTTTCAGATATTAAGATTAATTGGGTGTCGCTGTGCTAAAGGCATTCAGTAAACCCTAAAAAGAACGATTTTCTATTTTGTTTGAAACTCAATGTGGATTGTATACGTATCCCAACCTAGAGTACTCGTTAAGATTAATAATCACATAAGACACAAAGATTGACATGGTTCACCTAATATAGGAGTGAGTATCGATCCTGTATATTGGGAGAGAAAACAACACAGGTGAGAAAATACATAAGAAAAATTGGCAATTCATAACCCTAAAGCAGACAGTAATTACAAAACTCCTATACACATGTACCCATTTGCCTCTTTGACGAGAGTACATGATCTTAGCATTCAAACTCGATTAGGGCTTCACGATTTCAAGCTTTTCAACGAGAACACTTACCATATCTCTTAGGGTTTTGTAGTATGAACCCTAATTTATCAATGCAAGATACAAAGGATAATAAAGACCATGGTCCCCGAAACTATGACGATGATCAACGGTCTAGAAATGGTATATCTATGGGAAGACGTATACACAAAACCCTATGCTTTAGTGTACTTTTATTTTCACAAAGTATGGTATATATAGCACTATAGATATGATTAACTTAATATTAGTGCCACTTTAGAGCGAGAAAAGCCTAGAAACTAGGTACTCGTCATGGAGATAATGATTCGTAAAATTGGGTTCATTAAGTGGAGACTCTTGGAGTTGTAAACAATTAACTTTATTTATAAATCTTTATTCAGAATCAAAAAGAAAGGAGCATCTATTCAGGAAAAGGGTAGATCTTTCACATGGCAAGATTATTATTATCCCTGGGAACACATGTTTATCCATCGAATTTATCAAGGAACTAAGACCCCAGAATGGAGTCTGCCTCAGAAAAAGATAAATAAAATAAAATAAAATAATGGAGTTCGTATTTGTTCAGTCAAGAACAATAACTTTAACCTACATATATATACAGAAAGTATACTAAGTGTATTATTAAATGTTATTAAAACTTAAAAGTCTATTTGTTTCTAATATTAAAAGTCAAATTGATTGATTGGACTCCTTAATCGATTAAAATACTTCTTGATTCCAAGAACTGATAACTACACGTTAATTATACAATTAAATATGTGAAAAACGTCATATTGCATTTAAAATGTACCATCTTTAACATTTTAAAAAGAAAATTTGAAAACTCATCAAACCCAAGAAGGAAGAAGATTTGTTTATGTTTCATGGCACTTCTTCGCAAGAAGTTTGCCTTTAAATAAAATAAGTAATAATATTTGGTAGTTGGTATAAACAAACTCAAAAGATGAAAATGGTTTCACAAAACACAGTATCAAACAACAAGAAGACGATTTGATCTTGATTCGCAAATTTAACGAGCTAACACTACAGTTGGATCAACAGAGGTGGATCGAATCAAATCAATCTCATTGAAAATGAAACTAAAAGAAAGTTGAAGTGATGGTAAATGATGAAATGATGATCCATTAATCTTATCTGACCTTTTTCTTCTCAAAAAGGCGGCCGACTTGCCGTGTTACCAGACCAACCACCACCGTCCACCGGTAACTGAACGTTTGGCATGTTGAGGGGTAAGTTAAAAAACGGTAAACCCATCGATGATGGGTCTGGAAAGGGATGATTGGGGCCTCCATCTCCGTCTCCGTTTCCGCCACCACCTCCCCCGCTACTTGCAGCTGCCTCCTCCTCATCTAATGGCAGCCTCTCATACGCTACATTTGTGAAAGAAGCAGCTATAACAATCACCGGCCCAGAAGCAACCAGAGCCCCGACAACATTCCCACCTACAACCTGACCTTGTCCACCAGCCAAGTAAATTGTCAAGCTGGTGGCACCCGGTGGAGCCGGAGGAGGCAAAAACGATCCCGACAGTGAAAGTATCTCAAAGCGGCCATGAAGTGTCACAACAGATCCAGCTGCCGCCGGCTGCCGCAGACTAACGTTGTTTACGGTGCCACTTCCACTCACTATACAAATCCCACGTTGACGTTTCCTGGCGTAATCAGCGACAGATTCAAAAACGTCACACCCACTACTGATTTCAAGGATGTGAGCTCTTAGGGTGTTGGCGCTTTCTCGGGTAATGATGACTGGTGGTTTGGGCTTGTTTTTGGAACCCGGAGGGCGACCACGAGGACGGCGACCGCTACCATCACCAGAACCGGGGGTGTTTTGGTTTGTATCGTCTTCGGAGTCCTGCTGGGGGATTTGAAGGTGGAGATCAGGACGGTGTTGGAGGGTTTGTTGGAGGTTGAAAGGTGAAGTAGAACCCAAGTCTAAGTTATTGGTAGCCATGTAGAAGTAGAAAAAGAGAGGAACAGGGAGAAAGAGACGAAGAATAATAAAGAATGGTGGTAATGGAGGAAATTTAGGTTTTAAAAAAAGAACCACATGGGGATTCTTTTCTCTATTACATGTGGAGAGAGAGAGAGAATTTTGTTTCCTTATATATGTAGGAAAGTATAATCTTCATTCCAAATTATGGTTGATGTTTTGTGTGTTATTGCAACTTGTTACATATCACCTCAAAATAATCAAACTTTTAGTATTGGCCGGTTGTTAACTCATGGTCGTTTTGTTTAGGATTATTGATAAAACTTACCCAATATATATATATATATATATATATATATATATATATATATATATATATATATATATATATATTGGTTGTCTGTGACTTTAATGTAATGAAAATTATAGATTGCTAATGGAATTTATAGGAATTTACCGGTTACCGATGAAATTCAAATTTTAATTTTAGACAAGTTAGAAGATACGAAATGTATATTTGTATAAAACAAGTTTGATTTTGGTTCGGACAAATAGCAGAGGTCAAAGAGGTTGCAACCCCTTGGGGGCTCTAGTGCAATTCCCCGACATGAAAATTATTTTTGTTAAGGAAATTGTAAAAATATTATTATATATATATATATATATATATATATATATATATATATATATATATATATAACTTAAATCATTATCATTTATTTATGGGATAAAATCAATATCTAATACTGAATACTATTATCATTAGTAATCATTAGAATTCAGATTCTATAAATCCATAGTTTATGGTCTAGTATCAGTGTCTTGATAGGTGTCTGTTCTTTGAAGTATTATCCACATAATATGGATTTCATGTATCCATACATAGAGTTGAAATATCATATTCGAAAAGTCATCACACGGTCCTTTCAAGCAGATTTAGGCTAGCTATAGATTTCAAAAACCTTATTGTCCTCTAAACCCTAACATCGGTTTTGTCACAGTTTATTTTTTAAAGTTGTTGAGTATTTGAGATATTGAAACTGATTTGGCTTTTTTGTTAATTATGAAACGCTTTTTAGGGTTTTGTATTTTTGGTAATTGTTTTATTTTCCCTATATATAGTCTTTAGGTTAGCTTGTGATGTAAGCTTTTTCACAAAAATGTTTCTTTGTACGTCCCATTTCAAATCAATAAGATACAAAACCTTTGACAGATTACTTGCACTTTATGGTGATTGATTCATGATTGTCTTCAGATTCCGCATTCGTCATCTCGTTTTTCGTCCTAACAATTGGTATCAGAGCATGAGATAGTGTAATCAATTCGCTATTCTTCTGTCGAATAAAGGGTTTTGTTAGGGTTTTACATTTTTCTTAGATTTGTTTTTGTTGTCTCAATCGTCTCAATCGATTGTTGATCCCAGATCTAGATCTCTAGATTACCCTTGAACTCGATTTAAGTTTTACACATCTGGTTCTATATTCGTTTTACTGAATTCTTGACAATATGCTTAACGACGATCCTTACGCTCTTTCGTTCAATCTCTCAAAAGAACATGGGATCTACGACAAGGATTCCAATCCTCTTTCTAGAAGATTATGAAGTCTGGGCTCTTCACTTTGAAGATTACGTTCTTGGAATCGAAGAACATGGTTCTACTATATGGCATACAATGACGCAGGAAACATTCACGTATTCGGGGTACCAGAAAAGCAATCAAAACTCTAGCTGATTATAATGCTCTCATTATTAAACATACTGACGTTCCAAACGATGAGAAGAATAAGCTAATGTGTAATATAAAAGCAATGATAATCATTCGATTTTCTCTTCCTCCAGACACTTTTCGTCTTGTTAGTGCATGCGATACTACAAAACGTATTAGGGATAGGCTGAAGTAGTTGTATTCAGGTGATGCTGATTTAGAAAACTCTTTGCAAACAATGCTCTTATTGGAATTTGGATCGTTTGTACAAAAATATGATGAGAAGTTAGATCAGACGTTCAATCGCTTCAATCATTTGTTAAGCAGAATGCTCAAACACAATCTTGAGCGTCAAGTTATTGAACAGAAAGTCACGTTCATGAATGGACTCAGATACGAATGGAAGGCTATTGTTTCCACTGTTAAGGGTCACGAACAATTCAAAAGCTACTCGTTGGCCAAACTCGTGGGTATTATGAGATCTCACGGAGATGAAGTTACTAAGGAAGTGAAGCTTGTTTCCAGTGTTGGATCCTTGGCATTAGTTGCGAAAGGAAAGAAGTCAGCAGAAGATGATTCTGAATCTGACTTTTCGGATAGTGATATCTCAAAAGAAGACAAGGCTCTAATGGTGTCCAATCCTAAGAAGTTCTTTAAGAAGAATTTCTCTCGTTACAAAAATAAATTAAAGCAGGGCAATTCCAGTTCAGAAAAGCCGAGGGATGAGAGTTACAAGAACTCTCAGAATGACGAAAAGAAAAAGGAAAAAAAGTTATTGGGTGACTCTGGTTATGACTGTAATTACTGTCATGGCAAGAATCACTTTGCAAAGGAATGCATGCTGAGGAAGCAGAATGAGAAGAAGGAAAATGAGAAAGACGAAGCGTATTACGTTCAGAAGATAGAGGAACTCAAAAGAAAATTATATCCAATGCGAAACCAGTGTTTATAATGTAAGAGGAATGTGATGACGGTAGAGTCGAAGTGTGGTCTACAGGCTCTGAGGATGATGAGGTGAGGAAACCCACCTATGGCGGGTGCTTTGTGGTGAAGTCAGAGAAGCAAGGCTATGAAGGCAAGTGTTTGATGGTTCAGAGTGGTTGTTCGGAACCGAGAGGATATGCTACTGATGGTGGAAAAGCGCCAGAGAGCTGTTGTCACACCCCCGAAACCAGACGACGGAAACGTCCGAGGGCTCGCGTGACTTAAATTGAATATCATCACAATGAATATACATGAATCATAACATAAACATCACCATGCATCAATACATTACAACTGATATTGTTCACATCCAGCACATTGTTTTAAATATTACACATCCATAACATAAATTGTTTGAGAGTTTTCAAAACATAACATCCTAATATACTTGATATTACCCTTCAGCTTACCTGTTACCTGAGAATACAAGTTATTTTGAAAAAAACGTCAACATATGAAATGTTGGTGAGTTCATAAGCAAGGTTGTGATAAAAATGATTTGTGTAGTTTATAAAACCCAGAAAATCCGATATTTTCTGAAAAGACAATTGTTTACCAAAGTGTGAAGATCCATAAGTTGATGCATGAATGATTTCAAAATGTGTATAAAAGGAAGTTTTGTATTATAGTTATAGAAAAATACAAGCGAATGGTATTGATTTCCCTCGAAAAACCCGATGTTTTCCGATAACATAAAATATAATTGTTTTTCAAATTGCTATACCGCCACAACGTATATTTTGATTACTCTTCCTTGATTACTCGGATGGTATTGGATTTAATTAATTATGTGAGTCGTTATAACCATGCATAATAATGACTAGTTCGTCTGTCTTGGCAACCTAACGTACGTCGGGATTGATCTTAAGATTTTGTCACCCTAGACTAGCCGAGTCTAACTGTAGCGAACAGCTGAGGTGTGGGGGAGTCACCCCCGTATAGATCTATACATAAACTCTCGCTCTCCTTCCAGGAGACTTTGATTATAACTACAGACTACGAACGACCCTTAGAGGTGTCGCCCGTTATTACTCACTTAATCCAAACAAAATTGATTACTGTTGATTAACGACCTGGATTTGTTTACTTTGATTTCAAATAAGCCTAACAGACACGGAGAAGAGGAATACAAGGTCCTGCTAATTACGCGTGTTATTTAAAGCTGTTGGTTATACGAAGGACACATTGACCCATTTCATATTTGATTAAATTTGGACCTTACTAGCAATGCTAACGGGCCACCAAGGCCCAATAGCACATATAAGCCATTGAGGGTCCCTTAAACATGTAATTGGGTCACAGGAGGCCCAATAGACATGTGTTATTATTAGCGTTAGGCCCAAAAGTCATGTCAATGGGCCACGAAGGTCCGATAAGCATGATTAGGATCTTTCAAGCCCAACTATTTGGATATTTACTTGTTTTAAGTATAGTATAATTGTTGGAAAGTTTGATTGCCGATTGTTATCTTCGTATCGACACGGGACCGTTCGGTTGTTTATAATGATATTTGAAAATATATGTATATTCTTCATTCTATTTTCATAAGTTGTAAATTGGTATTCTTTTGACTCAAATATCTTAAACCAAAATACTTGACTCAAAATATTGGTTTGACCTATTCAGCCCTTCTTTAATAAAAACGACCATTTTAGTCCCTTTATTTAAAAAAAAAATACATTTTTGGCCCTTAAACCATTTTCTTGGCATTTTTGACCCATAGACTTGTTTAAGTGATGTTTTTAGTTCAAAGTTTACTCTTTTGCAGTTTCAGCCCTTCCAGTAAAGAGTTTTTCAGTTACAGCCCAACTTTTCGCAACTTTTACAATTTTGGCCCAAAATCCAAAAAGTTTACATTTTTTATCCTTGTTTGGAAAATAAATCATTTTAACCCCTGAATTGGTTTGTTTACCCTTTCTATCTCCTGTTTTGAGGAATTTATCATTTCAGTCCCTTGAAAATTATGTTTTTCGCAATTTTGGGCTTAGTGGGCCGAAAAGCCCAAAAATTGGCCCATTAAGCTACAAATTACATTTCTAATCCTTTGAAGAGCATATATTCATAAGACATTTATTTTAACTGTTTTGACTCTTTTGATCCTTAAGAAGAACCGTGAATGGCAATTTTTAACCTAACTTTTGTTTATTTGACAATTTAAGCCCAAAAATGGGTTTTATGTTGCAATATGTTTATTTTAATCTTAGAGGGTATTTTTTTTTGACTTTTTATGGTAATATATCTTAGTTCATATTTGTTTTCCTTCTTGTGCCATAGATTTCGTGATTTCTTCCCTTTTTGTTACATATTTACCACATAAACACATATAATCGCA